TTTCCCTGTGTATTTCATCTTCAGTAAGATTTTTTTTTCCCCCTGCACCTGCGCTCAACCTACAACTCAGCTTCCAGAAAACACTCAAGCTGACTTAAGTTAGAGGATGCAGGCTTACTAAGGTTCTAATGAGATCACTGCCTTAGTTGAACTAGTGAAGTAGTTAGGGCTACTAAAAAAGGAAAAAAAAAAAAAAAGCGCATCTGCAAGTGGTTTCTGAAGGATTCACCTGACACACAAGAAATTCACAAAAGAGGAAAGGGCCACAAAGCCAAGCTTGGGTCTTGTGTAAATATAAATCACTTACACACTGCCCTGGCTACCAAAAACGTTGTTCCAACAAAATAGGTGTCCAAGTGACTAACTGATTTTCTAGAGGCGAGAGTTAGCACCGAACGCCCGCGCCCATCACATCCTACCCAATGGTTACCTGTCACTAAGAAAAAGGCACGTCTAATCCAGCCAAAAAGTCATCTTTCCTTCAAGGAGGGCAGCGGTTTGGAGACATTCGCAAGGGCTGGGATTGCAGGAAGGGGGGAGAGGGCGTGGAATAAAGGAGTGCCGAACAGAGAGACAAGCGAGGGTTTTTCCACAGGGCCCACACAGGCCACTGCAGAGAGAAATCGGGGGAAGAGAGGAAGATGTCTCACTGGGGGTCAAAGCCGAGTGCAAACCGGCTAGAGCAAGGAAGGTCCTCCCCTCCACCCCAGGACGCGAGCTGGGGTGCAGATAAAAAGCGCTAGCGGCTGGTTACCTTGGGATATAGAGGAAAGGGACAACCAGGAGACAGAGGTCTGCAGAGGAGGGGAGGCAAGGATGGGGCAGGGTCTCCGCTGAGCTCGACAGGGAAGCAGAGGAGCAAAACAGCAGGACTTAGGCCTCCCCGGGCCAAAAGGCGTGGCCACAAATTCAGATCAAACGATGGTCTTTTTGAGACGCCTGGGGAAGTGCGCGGCCGATCCCTCCTTCAAGCCCCCGGCCGGGCGCCTCCGTGAGGCTGACCCTCGAGGCTCCTGGAGGGCGGAGGAGCCCTCCGCAGGGCCGGCCAGCCCCCGCCCCCACCCCCGCAGTGCTCTTACCTCCACACCTGCCCCATCTGCAGCAGGT